GGCATTAACTTTGCTCTACGTTGCAGGGCATAAATTTTCAATCTCTAGTTACTTCAGTATGATTTTGTTCTGTTTTGTATTGGGAAAACAACTTTTTTTCCCCCTCTCAAAGCATTTTACAAGAACGTTTATGTTTCACTTCAGGAAAGAAAAATTAGACGACTAAGTGCAAAATAGAAGTATAAAATTTATTTAAAACCACCCACAAAGTTCTGTGTAATCAGGAATGATACAATTTGTAATAGTCTTTTTAAAAACTCATGACAAGATTTAAAATATATTTTCAATTACAGTATTCATTTAGCCTTATTCAGTTAGGACAATAAAAAAAAATGAAAGTTTACGTTCTAAACAGATGAGACACACAAGAAAAATAGAACAGAACAGACAATTTCCACAACAACAATTTTTACATGTATGTTTCAATACTAGTATCAACATTTCAATGCATCTTGCTACATAAACATGAAATCATGTACAACAACTGCTTGCACCAAAAAACATAGCTTAATTAGATCTTTCAAGTAACATGCAGTCACAACTCACAAGTCTTCAAGTACTGCTGGTAAGGGTTCCCTTGTCTGCAAAGATTATAAGGTTCAGTTTCTCAGCTAGTGTAACTCTTCAGAGCTCCACCACTCTCATGAAGCTATGCTCAGTTATACTAGGAAAGAATCAGGCCCCAGATATTTTTTGAGAAAAGAAGTAATTTTTACACTTTTTCCTGTAGATACGGTGACATAATGAAGTGCTTTTTCTTTCTGATTTTTTTCTCCCTGTACATCATCTTTTGCTTTATAAAAGTTATGTTTCAGATCTAAATACAGTAGGTTGTTAAATGAAAAAATGCAAAACCTCAAAGTTGAAAAATAAATATCAAACGCATCCCAAGGAAAGAGAAAGAAAAACAGGGAAAGAGATAGGAAGAAGGACAGAAGACAGAAAATACTTTTTTTTTTTTTTTTTTTGGCATACTGTTAAGTCCTTTGACTTTTTAAATCGGGAAAGAATTCATGTATATAGCATTTTTGTACAGTGTGTCCTTAAAAATTAATGCTTCTGTGATAGCAGATTTTGAACAACATTTACGACCTGGTATAATTCTGTCACATTATGAAGAGCTGTCTCTTCTAAGCCGAACAAATTGCCTTAGACTGATTGTTGAATTTGAAAACGTCTAAGTGTTTGTATTGGTTAGAACTGGGTTTCTTTCAGTGGTGTTGGGATATCATATTTTTGCTTTTCTTGCCTGCAGTTGTTTTTTGTTCACAGGACAAGAGATTTGTGATGTTCAGACACTTCTGTCGCATGGATCTGGCATCCACAGAGTTAGCACAGAATCTGTTTCTGTTAGGCTCTGCAGTATCACTGCACTTTAGAAATTAAAAAAAATGAAAATATAAGATTTTTTTCTTCAAATCTTTTTGAAAGAGAAACATTTGTCAGAAGGGTATGGAGGATGGCACTGCGCTGCCAGCAAGGGAAGCCCTGCATGTCACAGGCAAGCAGGGCAGTGCCAGCAGTTTCAGTGCCACACAGCATGCACTCACAGAACGTTGGTTTTTAGCTTTGTCTCTCAAAACTTATCCCAGCGTGGCAACATCACACAGCACCACACACCCTGCTGGGGACTACGTCAGAAATGCATGGACTGTGGTACACTCTCACAACCCCACTTTATGTAACTGTGTAAAAGGTTCAAATACAATAAGAGCAAAGAAAAACGGCCTAAGCTTAGAAATAGTCTTGTTGACAATTCCGTGAGATTTCTGGCCAGATCATTATTTTGAGGTACAAATCTTCTACCACATTCTCTTTGTAGACAAAGTTGGGAAATGCACAGCCAATATAAGCAAATTTGTAAGTATTCATTACAAAATAGGTCAGAGAAATTTCTTTTCAACCTGTATTTCTAAGCTGAGAACAATCTGGATGTTAATTGGCAGTATGCACAAAATAGGGCTATCAAGACATCGATTTCCCATGGTTGTACACATCTGTGGGTAACAGTTTCAATTTATACTAATGACCTTTTAACCACAATCAGTATAATGGGGTACTCCAAAGGATGTAAGCTCAGTGGGCATTCATTTACAGCCTCTCTGTCCTTTCAACATGGTGCAAAGGACAGTGGTATAAAGGAGAATCAAATCCTTCATTCTTAATTTAAAAAAAGATTCCCAGATCCTAGACCCTTTTCCATTACAACGTAATAAAACTACAGACATACATGTAAAATATCGATAAGATCACAAAACTTTCCACAACAGCATTAGAATGTTCTGTGGTGACAACTGCAATACTGAACATCAAACTCACACCTCTGCAGCAGCACTTCTTTGGAATTCAGTTCATCTGCTGAAACTGGTAACTCTCTGTTGGTTAGCTGACAAATCTGTCCAAGCTTACAGGTGTAGGTTGTTCAGATCTACAGCCTGTGTCCTCTCATTTTGTGAGGAAAGCTGCAAGGGTGTGCAAAGTGGTAAAAACAGCGTTGTCACACCATACAGAACAAGTCACCTTCACGTAAGTCATTTAGCACCCTAATCTTGCATTCACTGCAAGTACACTGCTGGATGATTCTAGCATTTTCATATAACTGTCCACAAAAAATGACATATAAAATGGTCCAGTAGAAAAAAGAAAATATGCTGTTCTAGAAGAATTCAGAAAAGAGCATTAAGAAGAATCTTAATCTTTACAAGCTGAAGTCACAAATACGTGGTGAAGCAGCATAAACAATAGTGGGATGAACTGGGGAACTGGGTTGGAAAAAGAATCCTAAAGCCTTTGAATCTCAGAAAGACAATGGCAACACCCCTATAACCCTTCTATAAAAAGCAGTCACTATGTAATTATTTTCTGCTCAAGCTCAATCAGTTCCACTTGCTGTTACAGAGAAAGTACCAAACAAAATAATCCACTGTTCCACTCCTCTTTTCCAAGCAGTCCTGGCAGTTAAGGCACGTCACCTGCACAATACTGGGGTTTCTCACAAGGATGATAACTAACCTCTGCACAAGAAGGTAGCTGCGAGATGTAAAGAAGTACTCTTATGATGGTGCAAGGTCTGCCAGACCTTGAGTGAAGGCTTGGCCAGAGTTGGCAGAGTAACTTGGAAGAAAAGAGGGCTCACTTCACAGAGGTGCTAGCAACAGGAAGAAAAATCTTCCACTCTAGAGAGAGAGGGCTGAGAGCAAAGGGTTTCTTTAGCTGCACGCATGCGTAACAACAGCATAACAGCTACAGCAAGAGATCTGAAGTTAACTGGAAAAACACGTAAAAAGCAAGAAAGCACTGATGGATGAAAGATTCTGAAATGTCCTTCTTTCTTGGAATGAAAAAGTATCCAACTGCAATACTCTGGATTCCCTAAGACAGAACATGAATTTAGAAAAATAGAGCTACCTTAAACAGAATAAAAGGTGAATGAAGAAAAGAGAGTTTGGAACAGTCACAAGAATAATACATTCTTATGATATTCCTGAGATGAAGGCCGGATGACTAACGTGCAAAGCAGTAGCAGGTGGGGGAGTAAGCATGAGCAGGCTGACATCTGCACTCCTGCTGCTGAGTACCGAAGCAGATCTGCAGAGTGATAGGAAGGACTTCTGGAGCAGCTGGAAGTGCTTAAAGCATTTGGCAGCTGGTTATAACATCATCCAGGGCCGACAGCTTGCCACAACAGATGATCCATAAAGAGACCATGGGATGAGAAAGCTGCCAGTACTCGGTGCTGTCTGTACAGGGCAGAAAGCAGTGCCTACCCACTGACACCGGTCACATGAAGTGTTCCTCAGGGAGATACACTGCATTACCATGAGAACTGTCTACATTTAGCAAGCAGGTATGCAAAGTGTTAAGAAAAAAAATTGGCTTACTCTTCGGACATGACTAAAAGTGTTTTAATTGGACAATGATAAAATACACATTAAATCAATTTTCAAAGACTTAGAAGAAAAAAAAGACCTCTATGTTTACTGGCACCTGAGTAGACATTACTATTAGAAATCCTTGGTCTCTGAGGAAACCTCACATGTAAATCTCTACATTTTGCAGCAACATATTCAAGCACCATGTGGACAACTTGTGAAAACTGACTATGGATCAGATCACGGCAGAAGACACCGAAACCAATTTGTGTACTGTTCCACTAAGCAGCCTCTCTATTTCATGTTAAAGAAGGACATAAATGTAACATGGACTTTAAAAAGCTTTTGTATTTAAAATTAGAGGTACCAAAATAAGGGTCAGTGTAAAGAAGTACCCCAGCAACCACGCCATGTGAACAGAGAAAGCCGTTTCAGAAGCACTGTACCCACTACCTATTTGCCTATGGCTGTCTACACACACACTGACCAACACTCTCCCCCTCCTCTTTGTTTTTTGCTTTCTTTTATTGTTCCTCCAACAAACCAATGTACTCAGGCAGAGAACAAAGCAACAATTGCTGTCCCCAGAAGAACTATGGAAGCGGACGAATGCGTTCATGCATCCACAGCTGTGGGACACAATGACACGTCCTTTTACTGGTTGGAAACAGTTCTGCAATGCAGACTGCAGCGCAGTACCACGGTGTCACAACAGTCAACACAGGCTTTCTCTGCAGTTGTTTTTTGTTTTTTAAAGTAAGATATTCCTTCTCACTTTCTCCTGAAAGTCAGATGGCCTGAAAAAATTAAGAAAGCCAGACAGTATTTCCACATGTGATTGGACTGTTCTTTATCTCTAAATTACTTAAGAGAGTGATCACAGGGCACAGCTGGGCAGACATTTTTCACACAGAAGAAATAAAACACCAACAATTTTATGGAAGATGCATCACAAAGACCTCACTTTGAATTTTAATGGCCACAGTGGACCTGAAAGAGAATTCAGTTAACACTGCATTAATACAACTGTAGTTACATATAGCAAGTGAGAAGCAGACATGCAATTTTGGGTTTTGTATACATGAAGGTGTGGTTATTTCTTCCTGTTAGCCTAAGTTAGAGTATTTAGGGGGAGGGTTATGGGGGGGAAGTAGAAGAGAGTACTTATATATGTAGTTTCAAGAAAAGATTATAAAGCTGATGACTATTGATAAAATGAGCTGATTTCAGAGAGGAATTTCATAGGAAATTAAAGAACAAGATGGAACCATACGTTTTAAATGTAAAATCATGAAGATGTAGTTTTACTAAGCGGGTTTCACTTAAAATTTGTCAATGGATAATCTATCAAATAAGAAAAGTCTAAAAAGCTGATAAGAACTTAAGCCCAAAACAGGTCTGAAAGAGATCTGCTCGCATGTGTGAAACTCAAGGTGAAGGTACTGTCTCTACAGACCAGGAATTACTTCCGGAGCTACAGACAACATAACCTCTGCATTTAACAGGAAGTACATTGGTTCCAAATCTCTCTGCATCCGTCCTTGCAAGAGCTATTCATTGTGGAAGTATTGCAAGGGTCTGAGTTGGCACTGACTTTGGTCAACTCTACCCATATCCATTTAGTTAAAATTGCATGAAAATTGCATGAAAGCTTGATAAATGACCATATTGCAATCAACAGGTCTGCAGCAATGACCCAAATGAGACCCAAATTTAACCCATCAGATTTAGAGTAATACTGCAATGATATTATAAAGGCATTTTCAAAAAAAAAAAACAAAACAAATCCAAACAGTTGTATGTTACGGATTATCTTTAGTATTAACAAAGTCATAATTTACCCATGCTTACCATAAAGTGTTACTATAGATACTACAGTTATTTCCTGTTCTAAGTATAGAGAAGTACTGTCATAGGTCAGATAAGGACTTTTAATAGCAGTTATTCCTAAGTAAAAGAGTTAGCTTAGAAAGTCCTTGCAAAAAAAAAGTAAAACTGCATACAACTGTTACAGCCAGAAGGCAGCTAATATCTGTAAGTTCTTACAAAGCTTTTTAGATCTTGTGACTAAAATATTTGTAGAAATTATTTTTGCTGTGTTCTGTAATGCAAGATGGCACGTTACAAACAGTAACACAAAGAACCTCTATGGGTTACATTCAGTATTTAGTTGGGCATGACTGCAGTAACCCAGGAGGGACTCAGTGTCTTGCACAGAACTGGCTCCTGCAGCAAGCACTACTCTCTCCTCACTCCTTCACAGTAAAGGTGGGGTGGTGGTCCTGGACCCAATGGGGAAAGGGATGAGGAACATCTCTCCCAGAAAATCAAAGGTGTTCCACGTTGGGTCTTGACAATTGTTGCTAGAGTACTGTGAAAAAGGATCCAAAGGCAACCACATCCCACCAGCAGCCCATACCTGAATCCATTGTTTTTTTTTTCCTGCCAGGAACAATGCCAGCTGTTAGAAACCAAGTACAATCTGTGGGTCTGGCCTAGCCATCTACGTTAACTTTGGATCCAGATTCTGATCCGGCCACCCTGGAAGGACTTTGTTATGGGGTAAGAGCAAATTGCAAGTGACAATGTGGGAATGTGGGCTGTGAAGGAAAGCAATACACCCACAGATTTACAAAGCTTAACAGACAAATACTGTTATAAAAATGATAACCTTTCTCAAAAAAAAAAAAAAAACCCAACCAAAACCATAGTTTGTATACAAGGCTGATAAATATTCTGAAATGTTACAATAAATAGCACACAGTTGTAAAAACAGTAAATGGTTGTATTTCTCACACCGCAGTACAGCAATAGAAAATACTAACTTCTTAAATCACAACCTGCTATGTGCCACAGCAGGAAACAGAAGTGGCCAGCTAACCTGCCTGTTAGATACACACTGAGAAAGTAGTTACATTACAGACAATCGAGGAAAGAGCACCTATTGTACAGATGATATATATTTCTCATATAAGTAATCTTAATAAGTAGTAACTCTGAGTTTTAGCACCTATCAGTTAATAGCATTACTATTGTGTTAAGATAACTTTTCTCTCAAAACTGCCATTTCAAATAAGGTAGACCTGAACTTGCTGAAATTCTACTGGTGCCGTCACTTTTGCAGTGACTTGCCACGAGCTCTGTTTGGAGGTATCCTTTCAGATCTACCTTTCACTTCTTTCTCACTTCTTTGAGGAAAGCTGCTGGTTTTTAAATGGAACGTTTTCATCTTGAAGTTTCTATTAATACATAACTTAAACCTGGACATTTACTGGGGGCGATTCAAGTGAAACTGATCCACTTCAACGATTGGAACATTTCTAACGATAAGTAGATGGCTCTGTAACATTGTTTTGTGTAGAAAAGTTGTTACTCATATAGGAGTGCTGAATGGTATTTTCAATTTGTATTACACAAATTAAAGCCATCAGCACTAGCAGTGAAACCAATCAACTAGTATGTCCTGTACATGATTGCTCACGGTCTTGGACAAGGGTTTCCAGATAGCAAATATGTGAATGGAATAGCTACAGAACACACAGCACTACTTCCTGTATGGACAGCTGGAGTTCTTACTAGTCTTAGGCTCACTAAAAATGTAATATGAGTTTCAAAATGGAAGTCTAAGGCACACAAAATACCATAGTGATTTGATGTATACTGTATATTACGTAGTCAAGAAGCATAAAACTGCTGGTACAAAATGATGGTGTAATATTGTTTTTGTCTTATTATTATTTACAATCCCTTCATATCCTCTATTTGAACTAATATTAAGCTCTGAACTAAGATTTTGCAGCATACCCGGTTTTTACAAATTTTACTTAAGATGCAAAGAATGGGTTCAATTCAGCCATCATCTGCCATCAGTATTGTTGTTGGCTTGGACAGGAATCTGTGCAATTGAACCCAGGTCATTATATAGCGATTGCTACTTCAGACCTTGCTCCTGCAAACACGACATGTGTATACATTTATACAGGAGAACAGTCTCAATGATCTACAGCCGTATTTACGTATTTGTATCACCAAGGTCCTAACTGGCACTATATGTTAAAAACACCATTTAAGTACTTTTCGTACCAAAACTGTAAACATTCCATTTACAGCTCAACTTTTCAAGGAAAAAGCACCTTGTCTAGATTTTAAATAAAGGAGACCTAGAAAATTCATGTTCCTCTGTTACAGCACCACTACAGTATAACAATATCAAGTATATTATTAGTATACCTTCACACGGGAGAACTCTAACCTCGTTAAGCCCTGGGTTTACCCAGCTGGGAGGACTGTGAGGCAGACTTAAGGTACAGCTTTGTCTCTGGGCCCTGATCCTGCAGCTCTCAGCCCGGAGAGCAGGCCTGGCTTGAGCAGCGCTCCTCGCTCGGACTGGCAGGTACGGCTACGTGGAACTGTTCTCGTGGAGGAAGCTGCAGGATGAGGTCAGTCCTTAGCTAACATTGTCATTTGGTAATTTGTTTAAATAAATAAGTTTTAAAAGGAAATACATAGGAGAGGAGAATCAGAAAGAAGAGTGGGATGCTACAGCATTTAAAAGCAATGGAGTGCCTGTTTTCTCTCTGGTTTGGCAAATACTGGTTTCATGATATGACACTTTTCCAAGAGAACCAGAAAACAAAATTTGTATGCTTGGAAGGAAGAATACAACCTTTTCTACTCAAAATGAGTAGAAAATTCTACATCACTTAACAATTTACAAAACGTTTTTGTAAAAAACCTGAACTTAGCTGGTGAACACTGCAGATGGGTTTTCTCAATGAAAAATTTGCTGTTAAATATTAGAAATGTTATTCTTTTTCAACGCTTCCTCTATATTTTCCTCAAATTAACATATATATTTTTTCAGAATAGAATAAGGCAACTCTAGGGGGTATTCTTTATCCCAAAACAGTTCTACCCCTGAGGTCTTAGGAACATTTGGTTGTCATGTTAACTTATAATGTTCCAAATGAATGAGACTTATGCACTTATTGCTCAAAGAAATCGTAACAAATGCTGCCTTTAAAAAAACAAAAATCGTAACTCCTCAATAGCAACACACGTATTGATGTCTCCTAATTTCATGTTTGCACACTCTCTTTCAAATAATAAAATGTTTCTGCACTTTATAAGTTGTTTATATGTAATAAAATCTTCCACAAAAAAGGGCAAGTCTAAAAACAATCACATACTATTAGCATACATACTGCAGCTGTAACAATATGGAACTCTACACAGCAAGAATAAAATGATTTCTTCTGTAGAGTATGCACAAACCTTAGACAATATGATCCTTATACTATACTATTTCAAGTTAATTTTAAAAATAGAAAGTGCTTTTAAAATATATATTTACAGCTTAAAAACAACTTCCAGCCATCTTTGCCAATAACTTCATTTCATGTGGAAGGACAAATCTAGAGAAAAAGAATCATTGGTTTTCTAAAAGGTTTCTCTGCAATTTGTACTACATAGCAATGGTTGGAAGTTGTTAAAGCAATGGCACCATGAAGTAATAATTCAGCTTATTTATTTTAACTGTTTGATGTGGTTAAGCACCAAGAGCTGTGTAGAGCTATTACTGTATAACTTGATTTAACACCATAAAATGTGAACCTGTTAAAATCCCTATAAATGATTTTTGTAGTAAACAGACTTGATTTAAAGCACCAAAATATAAATTCCTAAAGGTAATAAACTGAATGATTTCAATCAAGGTTAATAACCTAAACAAAATCTTTTTTTAGAATGTATTAAAACTATACAACTTTTTTTTTTTTTTTTTTTTTTTTTTTTTGCTTAAAATGTGCTTGAGCACCACCAAATGTTAAAGTCACAGTTTAAGAAGAAATCCCCCCTTTTCTTTTTATTTTTTTACCTCAGCCTTAAAATGGTTGAGATGAGCAAATAGTAAACGACACAAGACTTGTTCTTTAACAGCACCTTAAAGAAACACTGCGTAACGCTGCACCAAGAGGAGGCATTTGATACTAAAGCCTATGCCCAATGGTTGTAAGGCCCTGCAACTCTGGTAAGGGCATAAGAAGATACTGTTATTACGTTATCTTTAGTTACTGTTAATGCTCTGCGTGAAGGAATTTGGTTGAACTCGTTGTCTTCATAAAAAATCTCTCTGTTTTCACTTGTTTGCTTTGTTTTCCTGCTGCTGGAGTTCAGTTCGGTATTCTCTGTTCCTAATCTCTCTGCTTCTTTTTCTTTTTCTTTCGCCCTCTCAGCCATCTTTGCTTCCCACATGGCTAAACCGTGTTTTGGCTCATTTAAATTTTTGTGTTGGTAGAAAACTAAGGAGATCCGCGTGGGATGATTGCGGTTGGGCTTTTTAATAGGTGTGGTAGCATGGAGTTCACGTCGCGCACATTCGATTAGGATAGAACCATGAGAAGGTGCCACAGCTACGCCGCCGATGTCATCATCCAAAAAATTGTGCTCGCTGTCTGACCACATTTCCTCGGCTTTTTCTTCAGAATCAGTCGGTTGTCCCAGGGCGCTGTTCTGCTTTTCGTTAATGCAGTCAAAATCACACATCTGCTCTCGATGGGAGCCACCCTTCTCCACTGGGCACCTGTGGGAACAGTCAGCTTCATTTCCAACTGCGTCCTTTGCTGGAGAGCTTAACGGTACTGACAGATCGCAAGAGCCGATCATCTGTGAAGAAGGAGAACTGTCTGACTGAGGCTGACAATTCTGCTTGTCTGGCTGATGTTCAAGTATACTGGGCGGGGGATCTTTGTGGGCTGGGGGGCCTGGAGCAGTGACCTCTGGAAGAATTGGCGGCACACCGTTCATCTTATCATTCAGCAAAATTCCAGTATAATCTTTGACAGACACATCAAAGTTCTTACAATTAATATAAGGTGTCACGTGAGGTTGCTTACTACTGCATTCAAAATACCCGTAGGGAACTGAAAAATCTTGTTGAATATTAGTCACTGCTGTTATGCCAGGCTTATGTGCTAACGATGAATAAGGATGTAAACTATCCACCTTAAAAGGGGAGGAAGCCGTATATTGTTTTAATAAAGAGCAATTTTTAGTAGTGTTTGAAGTATGTTTCATGGCACAGAGGTGATCAGAAGTCTCCGTTTTTATCCCAGGTTTTAAAGCATCTGCTTTGTTCCCTAAAAGAAATGCACACCAAAGTGTAAGTACTTTTCTTTGGTTAATCAAACATACCTTTGATGGTATTTTCATGCTTGCTACACATTTTTCAAAATGGTGATTTTTAACTTAAAACTACACACATAATTACCTTGCTGAATTACTTCCTTAACCTTTTCCAGCCAGACTGTTGGTATATAAAATAGGAAGGTATTTCACAGAGGGAAGGATAAAATAAACAGGTAAAATCAACTCAGTGCTCAGTTGCAGTGCACGCAGATGCCGCCCAGCAGCTGCTGCCTACCTTCAGCAATGCTCCCTCTTGCAGGCAGCAGTGCACAGAAGATTTTAGGTATCTGCTGTGGCTGCTGAAATGTATGTCTGAAACTAAGCCTGCAAAACAATATCAAAAATGCAAAATCGACCCCCAGCTATTAGAGGAGAAAGCATGTTTAACAGATCCTGTCCATCACAGAAAAGGAAGTTACTGAATGTACAGTTTGTGCATTAGCATCTAACTGCTTAGAATTAAAACATATCTGGCAACATACTGCAGGTAAATTCAAACTGCAGCGTGTGATTTGCTCTGTCTTGCATCTAATTGGCAGACATTCATTATTTCAAATTTCTGGGGGGATCACTTATTCAGTTTACATCAGCTCCCAGTTTCTAGTCCTTGGTCGCTGCAATTCTGCTCATTTGTGGAACAGAATTGTGTCAAACAACTCATTCTGGTAATGAGTTTCAGCCAGAGTCCACAGAACAGTGGAAAACAGTTCCATGGACTGATGGGCTTTGCATCGCACCCTAAAAGCTGCATCACTGAGTTCTTCTACATTCTCATAAAGGACCGGTTCTGTCAGCATTGTTTCTTTGTTCCATAAACACTCAATGTTTAACTGCTTTACCAAATATAGAAGAACTATTTTCTCTTCTACTAATTTATTAAAAGTGATGGATTAGAAAAATATTCTTTCAATATTCTTTCAGGAATGAGAGAAAAAAGGGAAAGTGTTAGTATACAAGCTCTATAATCGAGGGCAACATGAGGAAACCGCATCAACTCTTTTTTTATGAAATCAAACTCAAAGCATTTCATTTAATTAAGAAACAAAACAAAACAAAACACATCCAGAGCAATGCCTTCCTTCAAAAGACTTGAAATGCAGTGCTTGAGAATAGCACTGTCCATCATCTCTTTAGAGAGACCTTTGTTTTCTGAAAATATACTTCTAGCAAGCACTCAGGCAGCAAGTCCAGCAAACTCCTCATCGCCTGCCAGAAGCTCCTTGCTCTGCGGGTAAAGGGGCAGAGATTGAGGCAGCAGCACAGTTAGCAGAAGAGAGGAGGTGGGATCTGAGGCAACAGAGGCAGCAGTGTCTCAGGGGAAAGGACATTTTGGGGAGGTGCATTTTGTTTCAATTGAAAACACAACTTAATTTCTAAATTGGATTGGGTTTTGTACTGGTTTAACTTTTAACTAAATGTGGAAAATGGTAATTCAAATGGTATCTTGCACTGCCACAAATCCTGTTGTGAAAAAGAATTTCCTACTGTTTCGCTGTTTTTACTTGCTTAGCAATATACTCCCACTAGCGACCCATCTGGGACACTGAAGCTACATTTAACAGCATCAGTTGGAATCAATATTCTCTACATAGGGAATATGCATATTAGAAAGATACAAAACTGTATTTATTCTGGTAATATACAGAGAGCTATACATTCGTTTGGACGTAAGATCAAACCAAAGTCAGAGAATGTTTTGATTAGGAAGAAAATATTACAGGTGTTTAATAAACAGAAGTTAATTCAAACGTCTGGATAGAGGAAACAGTACAGGTTCAGCTCAGATGGCATCTCTCTCCAGAAACAGGATCTGCTGGCTAAAGTACTTCTCTGCTGTGGGCAGCTGAGCAGCTGGCTCCCCCTTCTATCCAACAAAGGCCAAGAAGAATTGCCAATATTTATGGAGACAAAAATAACATTGCCATCTTTAAAGTTTAGTCTTAAAGAATAACGTGGTTAATGATGGATAAAAAAGAATGTATGGTTTTTATCTTTACTCTGTATTTTGTATCAGTTTAGGATTTTGAAAGCTCTCAGCATGAGCACAAATGTAAAAATTACAAGTTGCTCTGCTTGATATTGAGTGGAGTTCATGATATATGCACCCTACTGAACATACAGCATTTCTACAAAAGACTTGGCAGATCTTGGATTCAGACTACATCTTCACATATGCATGCTCTACTCCCAGGCAGACCTAAGCTGGCTTCAGCGCCATAAAGGTCCTCCTCACTATCATCTTTGCTGCTAGGTAAAAACAGAAGATAATCCTGTCTTATCGCTTCTCAATTTCCAGCTCTGTGTATAATGAAGACATGCAGGTTACAGGGATCTCTCTTTCCAGATGAGAATACAGTACTGAATTTGAAATGATGGTTAAATCTCTTCCAAATACTACATGGATATTGGGCAATAGTAATGGACAATACCAAATAGCCAGCCTTGTGACTCCAAAATCCCCCCAGGCCAACACTAAAGAGTGTTGACTTCACATGGCCTAAAACACGAATGACAATGACTGCATGTACAACAGTTCTCATCTAACTGCATGTTTTCCATATCTTTTTCATTTAAAAAGCAAAACCAACACTCTAAAACTCTTGTACTCACCTGTAAACTGAGTAAGCACAGACATTATTCATCATTACTTTTTTCCTTTCCAATACATGCATTCCTTTCTTCTTAAATTAGGACAAAATTTAGCAGCAGTATTTGATGTGCTTAAAGAAACTGTAAGCAGTACTCTGTTCACTGCTTACCTAAAACTACAGGCAGTAACCTTCCCCAATTTAGTTTTTCCATACTTTCATTATTTCCTGAACTTTTTTTTTTTTTTTTTTGGTTGTTGATAAGGTATGACTAGAACTGATGCCCACTGCTCATATGGAGGGCTATCATACTATTAAAGAATTGTTTCCAGTTTGCCATCAGGAGTGATTACTGCTGCATAGTCTAATTTCAGCTCCTCTGCCTCATAGGCTGTTTGACTTGTTTTCATAATGAGCCTAATAATCTCTGCCACACTCATTATTTCTCAGGACTAAAATGACACCTCCCACTGGCAGAATGGGAAGGATCAACCAAAGGACTGATCCCCTATTATAGCAAAAAGCTGTATGTGTAAGTTAATGCCATAATGCTCTAAATTCATAATTACAGATATTTACATTTTCAGCAAAAGGCAGAACGGAGATCTTTACAGTGAAATTCAGCCACTGCCCTGTACAGGAAGCACACACAGTGTGCATAAATGCTTTTGGTTATTAATCTTGGCTGTCTGCAGCTATATGTACCATCTGCAGATTCGGGCTTACTGAGTTGACTTCTTTCTAGAGTCAGAAATAACGACGTAAACTGTGTGTTCCACTTACAGAATCTTCAGGGATTCCACTGTCACGATCTCCATGATAAAAGCTTTCATGATAGAAGCAAAATGTTATGATTCATATTCTGATTTTTCCATCTCTGAAAAACCTTCTTGCTGCTTTGAGTATTTCTTCATCACTCTTATTATTATCAGCAGCCCCTTTAAATTACCTGAATATTTCAAGCCCAAACAAATTATGGAAGTTTACTTGCTTACGCAGTTATTTAATCATTTTTGTATGTTTAAGGGAAGAGAATCTTACATTCCCAAAGCATATAGCAAAACTCTGGACAGCATACCATTAACTCAAGGCATGGCTTTCAAATAAAGAAGTCATGCCTTAACTACAGAGTCACATGCAGGTAGACAGTCGGTAGCTATTTCAGCGTTTCATAACAACTTTCCAGTGAGTCAAACAATCTCGCAGCTCCTTCAAAAGCCAGAGTCCTCTCATCCTTCCAAGACTTCCAGTCCACCCGGAGCACTCTGGAAGTTATTAATCACTGCACTGGAGATGGATGATGTCCTCGGCCTGAGAAGAACCTTTATATTTGTTTCAGAGCCTGGACTGCATCTCCCAGACTTGAAGCATGAAGATTAACTCAGTGTCTGTCTAATTTCCTAGGATTTAATTATTCCATCTTGCTCTACACAAAACCTTATTTGCTGCCCTGATTCTGCCGAGAGAAACGTGTAACCAGGGTACAGAATACAAATTACAGACATGTCATTTAGACTGATTTTGTTTGCAATTTTTTTCCTTACATTAAATCTATCACCACGTATCTCATGAATTAAAATTACAGCAGGTAGGCTAAGACTCCACTATACTTCCCCAAAGGTAGACAGCCTGTATTTTAATGCCATAGATTTGTTTCCTCTCTTGTAATCAGAGTTTACTCCATGGTTTCTTTTCTTTTCTACTTTTCATTACTGAAAAGTCCCACATAAGAATTTTGTTCTCCAAAATGCTGGTCCAAAATCTGACCTGAGGTACAGCAGCAACTACACACAGTAACTGGTCAAGGAGCAGCTCTATGCTGCACATGCACATATTGCTTGACAAGACTCTGTGGGCATAGTGACGTTCCTGTGACACAGAAAGCTAGGTGCAAAAAGCATCTAGCTCTCACCCTCCTGACAGTATTTCAAGGAAAAATGTGAAAAGCATTGTTTGATTTAACAAAAGTTTACTGTTGTGTTACTATTATTTTTTTTTGGCGTCTTGCTCTGTGGCAGAATCCGTGTCACTGAAAGTATCAGAAGGAAATGCTCTTCAGCTCAGATTGTCAGAAAGCCATTGTCTTTCATACAAAGCAGACAGCAGGTCCTGTACTTTTAAATGATGGAATTTAATATCTGTTCTTTAGATAAACATTCCCAGAACAGTATTTCAAGATGCTTCTACTAGCATTATTTATCAGAATATGGGGTCTTCAGAACATTTCATTGGTTCATTATCATTACTCACGATTGCTAACACACCACCACAAACTTCACCTGCTTTTTCCCTTGCCAATAGAATATCAACTACAACTTGTTCATTAGCCCCTAAGATGCCCATTATGGAAGTATGTTGAAAAAAAAACCAACAAAGAGTTACGAAGGAGCTTTTCCTTCCCCTGAGATGGCTGAGTCACAACACCGTATCAAAAGAAAACAGCTGAATTTGATGGGCAGCACTCACCTAAGCAATGCAAAGTGTTACTGAGATTTTCTGGCGCTTCAGTTTTCAGCTTTATTGGTGTTGAATATTTTTTATCCATTAATTGCTGCTTTTCACTTGGGGTCCTCCTCGTGTCAGGTTTCTTCTTCTTTGTAGCTCTCAGAGGCTCAGCTAACATCCGTACTTCTCTGGGAAACGCTGTGAGCACCTGTATGGCTCCGGCTTTTATCTTAGCTTCCAATCCCTCTTCAGTGCCAAATTCATCTGTTTGTGAAATTTTGTATAGAGGTAACACATGGAGCTGCTCATCGCTTGGAATCACCCCGACTCTCCGGTTGTCCTCCTTTGTTAACGTACAGACCTGGCAAGAACGGGAACATTTACAAAAACAATCCGAATACAGAAGTTATTCAAACGTTTATGCATTCAGCCTGGACTCCATTGTATTCTCATGTTTGGTAATCTCAGTGCCATAGGACTCTCAAGCAGAACCATCTGACAAGCACTGTTTGATTTATGATGGTGATGCAGAAAAACTACCCGTACCTGAAGATAAGGCGAAAGCATTGTGTCTTGAAGAGGAACAATGCAACTTCGATTCAGCTCACACTACCCACAAATATTTCCCAAACTCCATAAATAATCTGAGTTGTAAATACAGTGGGATTTTTTTTATATGTACTTGATGCTCAAAATCTTTTTTTAAGAGTAAAGGGTATGAACACAAAAATATTTTTATTTCTACCAGGAGTTTCTATGATACAGCTTTAGATGACAGATGAAGTTATCCATATTGCTGCTTATTTTTTTGTTTGTTGTTAAAACAAATCTAGCTCTAACTCTGTTTGTCTACATGCACACACGCTCGCCCAGCTCTGTCTGCTGTAACAAAGTCATGAGACCCAGCAGACGTTTGGTTTCTCTCAGGCCACTGACCTACTTTCTCTTATTAAATTATGTGTTGCTGTGGGATATGGGAGCCAAGAGGAAAATGCTGGCTAGATCCAATTTGATAAGAGCACAACAAAAATGTGAAGTTGTATCCAAACGCATTGCAATAGTATTCTTATTAAAGTTTTTCCAAGTCACTGATGAACCTTTTCAGTACTTTACCATTTTCAGCTCTTCTAGAGTTGCAGTTATTAGTATTAAATCTTCACCTTAAAAACAAATGCTTTTTCTTTTTTTTCTAGTGACAAAAACAAAAAACCAACCAAGTGCCAAAAAAATCCCCTTCTTAAAAACAGAAGAGCAGACCACCTTCACATGGCTTCACTCTGTGCTTTCCAGGGGATGGCCTTTGGAAGCAAGTGTCCATATAATCACCATTAATAATTTCATTAATCAAATTCGCAAGACAATGCTGCTTTTCCACAACGTACTGCATTACTAGAAAGCCATGCATTCATATCACGGCATGGTTAATCTTCTATTTCATGGGGAGTCACTGACTACACACACAAAGGAATCTGAGCACCATCCAAGGATGAGATGATCCTCCCCCTAAATGGAGGCATTCTCATCCGCCATTGCGTAGGTTGAATGTACTGCATATCACCAGTTAATTCAACTTTCCAAAATCTTGCCACCATGCCTAACGTTACAGGAGAAAATAATAATATAATTTAGGAAAAAACAAATGTTTTATATAGCACAGCTTTCACATAAAAGCATCACAGATTTATTTCCACAATAGAATTACAGAATCACAAACTAAAAATCCTAAATAAATGAAGTGGTTGTTAGGGCTTTAGAAATAGCTATATGCAAAGCTTAACAGTCGCAGAGCAGCAAAAGGAGAAAATCTGAGGGGGACAGACAAAGGAGAAGAGCTTTTCAGGTGGCATTTAAAAGGATTGAGAGAGGGGCTCTTAAGAAGGCAAGGTGAAAGGGCGATTAGAAGCTGATGAGTAGCATTTACTGATGTGCTTGCTCCATGCGCACTTACCTCTACTGCGCAGCCTTTGGACTACAAGGAAGATTTAGAAAAAACAGGTTGTTCCATGAGCAGCAAATGACACCTGGTTTCCTATGGACTTCTTTGTCCCCGCACTCCCACACACCCCATCCCAGCACCATTATCTCTGCCCCTTCCGCACCTCGCTGCCACCTCACTGCCCCAGCCAACAGCAATCAGGCCCTGCTGGCGCTCTGTGCCTCCTGGCTACAGGCCAGGATAACCCCAGGCTCTCACCCACTCAGCAGTGGGCTCTCACAACGCAAAGCGTGGAAGAAGAGGCTGAAGTCTCCAAGGCAAGATTCTGCAGAATTCAGTGAAATTTGGTTGAAACTTGCCATCAGATTCAAAGTTATCAAGGAAGGGGAGAAAGGGTGAGATATACAGAGAGCACAACTGCATACGGCTCAGCACATCCTCCACTCCCAAACTGAAAACAAAAACGAAGTTTGCATGAAAGCCATTTAACTTCCATTTGTTTTTATTCAAAACTGCCTGATTCTCACTTGTTAAAAATTCCGCCCATCCTGTGTCTGTACTCATATGCTGCTCTGAAAAACGTCTAAATCTTAGATTCAAATCCACACAGTCTTGTTCATTTTGAAAATCAAGGCCCTCACCCAACTTACAGTCTGCATTTTCACACATTTCACCAGATATATTGATGGAAATCTCATCTTGTACATTTATTAGATTTATTCTTTCTCATAGAGATTTTTTTTCTTAAAAATGTATTACTTTTAATCTGATTTGTAATGAGGTAGGTGAAATGCACATTTTTGCAGTGCTTGATTTGGGGAAGGCATGTAAGCAGAGAGGAAAATCTAAGCTCCCAGTTGGTAAAAGAGCTTCCTGTAGGTAGAAATGAGTTATTGGTCAATTTCAATCCCAAGGAACAAGAAGGAAGCCAAAGAACTCCTGAGGAATTAGAGAAGATAAGGGCTGTACTATCTTGGCAGGACTATGAAGAGGTGACAGGCACCTCCAACGAGCAATATATTAACTACTGAATGAAAAAAATGAAATTAATGTATATTAAGAATCATGCAGAAAAAAAATTGAATGTTAGTACACCTAAAGCCTAAAAACTGTAAAAGAAAACTTAATGCATGTAATTTTTCAGGGTCACTGTCTCTTACAATGTATTTATTATGAAAAGAAGGACATAACTGCAAGAGGATAGCCCAAAACTTCATGTTACCAGGAGACAAGTTACAAATTCAGGCCCCTACAGATGACTTGGCAATTTACAGCTGAAGCAATCCACCAAATGTGAAACACCCGTTTCAAAAGCCACTCTAATATTGAAATTTGTGCAAAATCTTCACTAAGAAGCAATTGCTGTGAAATTAAAAGCAACATTTTCCATCGGTGTTGACAGTGTGTGCAAACTGCCCAATACTAAAACCAACCACAAGAGAATCATGGACTCAGTCAAACCTCACTTACACAGTGAAGCTGCATGTCCTGCTAGGCTCAATACTTCTTCCAGAATGTGCAGCTAAATCATCCAGGCTGCTCAAAAGCCAAAGAAAATGTTGGTCAGGTAGTTTGTTGATGTTTCCAGAGCGCCTGGTGATCAAATCCAGGCCTAACGCTGGGGTTTGTGATGTCATGGAAAAACCTGCATATTCATGAGACTTTTTTTCCCCACTGAAATGCACCCATGAACTCCAAGAAATTTCCTACACATCTGTAGCCACGCAACTCTGAATGCATAATTCTGAGCCTCTTTGATCTGCCTTCGGCCTCTTGAACTTCACATGCAGAAATGATGTAGCCTTTTCCACTGTGTCGTAAGAACAGATGTTTTAAATTCAAGATGTAGGAAAAGCAGTCAAACGGCACTTGTAACCATGAAAGATGAAAATCAGATTTCCCATACTCATCTCCCCTGTGCAGATGGAAAGGAGAGGGAATGCCACTCGGGACTCTGAGATGATGTGCGGTCACTGCTCATCATCACAAATACAAACAGATTTGCTTTCTTTTCTGTTGCAGCTGAAGAACCACCATTTTATTGGCTTGTTATAACCTGAATAAGCCTGTGTAAATCCCAGAGTCATCAAAGAGAACACCAGACATTTCTCCCTTGGACCACCTGACCCTAAGCTAACAGTAGCTGTTGGCTACACACACATCGGATGGCACTGCCATGCTGTGTGCTGCAACATGACGTGGTGCACTACCTGCTGTCTGGGAGCTCACAGATTACTGGAGAGAAATTCTAGCATTTCTCCATTTTCACAGTACAGAGAGCAACAAAAATCCTTCCCTTAAAGCGTTGTGGTTTACCCTTTCCCTGATCAGTTATCATCTGACCCACCAGCTGAAGGATCTAAGCACATGTGTAGCTCAGAAAGCAGCATGGACACAATCCAACAGGCAGCCGTTAACCAACGCCAGACACATTCTGTCACTACTGCAAAGGCCTGGACCTACATGCAGTGATAACTTGATGAACTGTAAATACAGAAATACAGTAACTCACTGCAGGAGCAGAGAATCTTCTTAAAAACATAATAGAGAAAAAACAGAAGAGGAAGTTTGTGGGCAGTTGCTTATTGACACTAACTACATGGTTCTGCTGCCAGTAACAAATGTTATAAGGTAGCAGCCCACAAAGCATAGATTTCTCTTTTCTCCTTCCTTCTTCCACATTGCATGCTACAATCGATCATGTGGCACCAATGTCTACACAGAATTGCAGCTGTTCCCTGCCTTCCTCCAGGTCCCACATGGTGAGAGAGAGCCATACATGGTACCATGAGCAAAGCCTTCATTAAGCATTTTGTTCTTGCTGTGAAACCTCCTATTTCTGTGACTTACATGGATTTGCACAAATATTAAGAATATAATCCTTAGCAGCTAAGCCATTAAAAACATGCATTTCACAGAATCCATTATCAATTATAAAGCCTTTATTTTTGCGTTGCTCATTTACAGTCTCTAAGCAACACTGTATCCTAGCACTGCATTGTAACATCTATGGCCCTTAGGACAACACTAAAAGATGACAAAAAGTCACTGATGGTGTGTTTACTGACTTCATGGTTTGTCAAAAATTCAACTCATAGGCAGAGATTGCTTTTGCTTCTTTCAGATAAACACATCAGTTTACACCTCTGTAGAAATACCCAATGTTTTCGTTCTACTACAGAGAAAAACAAGAAATACCCATTTTTGTCTTTAGCTTTTCTTCCAGAATGCAGTTCTGCACAGTGCAGGCTATGTTTTTGTTAGCCAGGAAAGGTTTTCAGCAAGTCAAACTCCTGCAGTAACCTCAATTTTTCTAAGTTAAAATGTATTACTCTACCTTGTATCTACAAAAGACATTTCCAAGATTTTTTTTCCTCCACTGCTAGCAAAAAGAAGAATCATTTCTTTTCAAAATCACATGCAAATAATTCAGCTGATCATCAAAACTTTTATACCTGGAATAACACAGGAATGCTTTTCTGAATGCTTTTTCTGCTTTTCTGGCAGAGACAGAGAGGGGAAATTCTTCTTAGCAGCTGATTAGATATGATATTCTTTTAAATAAACAGTAAACTCCGTGCTGGTCATTGAGCTCACTCCAGTGCTTTGCACGTCCGTGTCTGACTTAAACCATTTCAATATATTCAGATTTTCCTTTACTTTTGGTGCACTGAGCAGTATTCCCTTCATATTTGTGGTGAAAGTGATTCACCAACAACTGAAAGGAGAAATGAAAATGTGTCACTTATGCCATCACTACTGGTAATAGAGCTGGCAGCATTTTACACACACCATCCGGTGAGGTATTTATTTCAACTGTTTTAGTCTAGAGGAGCTTTGGGTTTTATAAATGAAGATTTTGTGCCTGAATAAGAAGGGCAGCAATCTTACCAACACCGATGAGGTGCAAGATGACAAGTGTGCTTTGTACAAATTTTAAAATTGCAAGGTGCAGTTATATATATATATATATTTAAATCAAATAAAAGAAATACAGGAGAAAAACAGTAAGTAAACTTTGTTTGAGGGTGAAAAAGCAGGAAAAAATATTCTGTTTATTGGCACATTATTAGAAAACAATTAGGAAATTATTAGAAAACATCCATAAGAACTCTAGCAGGCACCTCAGTAAGGTGCAATGCTCCATACTACATTTTGCACACAAAATACGTCATAGTTAAGATGCAAATGGCTCCATCATTACCTCTGGTGGCCTATAAGAAATGGCAATTTATTTGAGACTAAATAGGGAACTGGAGTAACTGCTGGAGTTAGATGGGAAAGTAGGAGGTGATTGGACAGCTGTTAAAATCACACATGGTAATTTTGATGTGCTTACCACCATTTTTCTTATTTGTTTACCAGATCTGGTTATGAGCCAAAATCAACAATCCTAATTTTGGTGATCAACAATCTGACATAGATTGAAGAAAGCCCAGCATATCACAGAATCCTAGAACCATTAAAGGTTGGAAGGAACCCTTGAAGGCCATCTGGTCCAACTCCCCTGCAGTGAGCAGGAACACCTACAGCTCCATCAGGAGCTCAGAGCTCTGTCACCCTGGGGGTCTGCAGGGATGGGGCACCACCATCTCTCTGGGCAGCCTGTGCCAATCCACTCTTACTGCAAAAAACTTCTTCCCTATATATTTAATCTAAATCTCTTAGTCTGAAACCCCTCTTTTAAAACCATTTCCCCTTGTCCTATCAACAGACTCTGCTCAAGAGTCTGTCCCCTTCTTTCCTATCCTAATGCCCTGTCACCTTGTCTGCAAAACAACAAAATCATTCATTTGCCTTAGCCTTCCATATGCATCACTGTAATGTATATCTAGATATACTAATAAAAAACAGCCTATACATGCTATGAATCACAGTCACATCTTACTGTGGAGGCTGTATGAAGATCATCAGGTTACTCTGCACACCACCTTCTTGCCAAAAACCCCTGACTTTGTTACGTAAATTCAGTGTTAACATTTGCAACCATCCCTATTTACATATAGCCCGTTATCTCAAGTATATTAAAATCCATAGATAACAAACCTAAACAGAGAGAGTAGGAGATGTACAACAGTTATTTGTATGAGTGAGATATCTGATGAAGATCACAATTCAAGGTGCAATTCTCAGCAGTTAAACCAATTTTTTTTAGTGTTCTGCAACATTCAGAAGTGGACCTGAAGAAAACAGGGATGAGTTCTGGCCTACGTAATGAGATACCTTACAGAGGCCACCATTTTCCATGCCTCTTAGATGTGGAATTACTAGCAAGCAAAGCAAGTACAATCCACAGAAAGAAATACCAAGCATAATCTGCAGGTGAAATAACATCAGATCATTGTAGATAAATACAGTCATAGAAATGAAATGGAAAACAAACAAACAAACAAAAACCAACAAGGAACAACACAAACCACCCCATATCTAATCATCCCTCCAGGCCTTTCTGGCCATACATTATAACTCTCCCAAGAGGATAACTGTTTTCTTTCTTGGTTCTAATATTGTTGAACGAGCAGCAAGCTCAGTTTCCATTTTGTCTTCATACTAACACACAACATAGCACTTAAAATAATATTTTTAGGAATGCCCAAATTACATTTAATTAAAAACTACGCCATGCACTTTGTCATGAAAAGAAAGTCTCATTTTCAAATCTGGGACCTTTAAAAGGTCTGCATTACTAAGCTTCAGCAGCTCTGAAGTGACTGTCCTTGCATGAGCTTGTTTGCAGCAGCTTACCAATATTTTGCAAAGTCTGCTTTCAGCAGTTTCTTATTAAATACCTGCAGATAAGTGACATTCAGTGTTAGGAAAAAAATAGTAGTCTATTCAGGACTGGCATTCCTGGTGAATACGGAGATCTGCTTCCATGCTTCAAACTAACAGGCGTTTACCCAGCAAACAACTAGAGCTTTAGCATGAACAATCCTTCCAGTCAGTTCACTGACTGTACATAAAAATGCTGTTAAGCGTATGCCTAAAGGCAATGCTGTTTTGAATCACAGCAACATCGTAACTGAATTTCCATTTTTGTATCTGTTTCAAAAGGGCAGAGATTTTACATATATTTCTTCTTTCTGTATGTGCACCCTTTGGTATTCTTGATTGTCTCCTCCACTGATGCACAAGAAGTTATCATGAAATGTTTTCAATATTCTAACTATTAAACCCACATAGTTATACAGACATGGTTGGTTTTATTTCATCTTGCTTGCTTTTGAGCTTGTCCCTCTTCACCACTACGGTCTCAGATCTAAAAGATCACTTAATTGAGTGATTAATTTTCTCACTAGCAAACTAGCTAGGTATTTGGTACATATCAACATCAAACCAAAACAGAAATAACCCACACCTGTGAATTTTCCTTTCCTAATAAGATGATCAGATTTAATTTTAAGGATTACAACAGATACCTGACTCCACTACCTACTCCATTTGTATTTTCTCACTTGTAACTACCAACAGTGGGGTCTGCTAAGTACACAGTGCAACTAAAAAGTGAATTTTAAAAGTATTCAGGCTGGTGGAAATAAATTAATAATCAGTTTGCTTAAGTTCTTCTGCAGACAACTCCCTGGATAGCTTGTTATTTGCCTTTGAACATCAAGCCTTTACTCTGAATAACTTGAATAACTTATCTGTCCCATGGACGATCCTGTCCAAAAGGCTTGGGTGTCCCCAAAGAATTATTGTATTTTTTAAAGAAAGATCACTCACATAGCTTTGCTTTATAACAAAATGGAATTATGCCCTCTGTAGATTAATAATAAATAGATGCAAATAGCATGGGAATTTATAAATGACAACGTGCAATTCATTTTATAATGCCTTAAAAAAACTTTGTGCAAATGTACCCCCTAAATCAAGCAACATTTTAGAACACACAGTAATCACTAGGGTAAGCAGTACAAAAGAGAAAAAATCCTATGTACGTACCACAGTGCTTCCATTGTGCATGTTATGTGTGTCCTTATGGGCATGGGCACAAAAATCTATGCAAGCTGTGACACCAGAGAAAGGCCTACCGTCCTTGGATCCGAGCCGACAGTCTGGGCCCATGTGTTCATTTTCCACCTAAAAATAAAATAAACTACAGGTACTTAGGACTGAAAGTGCGTGACTTAAAACGCTGTTATCCGCAAATGCACTTATGGCTGAATAAATACAGCCAGGAAGAATAATGAGAAAGCATGTATTTTCCCTTGAAACATTCAATACTTACTACTGTTGTCAACAAGACAATCAGCTCCATCAGAATCAAAACATCTCTAAATATATATATATATATATATATATATATATATTTTTTTTACAGTGTTATTGGTATGACTTTTACAAATGCACAGCTCAGGGCATAACTTAATCACTAGCTGAAACAGAAAAGATACATTATTCTAGAACTAACCATGCAAAGTACTGGCTGCAGGTAAGCAGTGGGATTCGTCACATCGGAGATCTGCCGCTTCTACCCGTTAGCACACTTTGGAGTCTCATCTTTTCCAGCAACACTGCCTGTTTAGAGGTACAGCTACACTGACTGAAGATCAGACCTACCTGGTTCTGGAAAGCTTCAGGAGCAAGCTTTTTATAAACCGGAGCCACATCAGTAGCTAAAGTTTGCAAATTATGTTCAAGAAGTTCCTCCTGCAGGGAAAGATGATGCTTAGAGAGCTGCAATTTACTTCAGAAGAATTTAGAAGAATCCAGTTTAGAGATGTCTGACCTGAGTCAGCAAAGCTAATAATGTCCACCTCTATCTGATTTTATTAACAAGACTTCTATGCCTCAGTCTTTTGTCACTGGACATAAACAAGCCTATTCTTGCACAACTAAATTGCCCAAAGTGATCATTATAAGTCAGGAAAATAGCAACAGAGGATGTGTGGTAGGATAGAGAAACCCAGTATGCAAGGAATTTGTTTTTCATGTCACTTTTTCCTGCTCATATACAGACAATCAAGGAAAGGGATCTATTCCACAGAAAATAGAGAAATACTGAAAAATTAGATTACATTCTGTGTGGATATGGAAACCCATACCTTCTTAAAGCGTTTTGTTCATGAGGCCTTCATTTCTGTTGATAAATTTCTGCTATAGAAACACCTACTAGAACTGAAAGTAGTATTCAGCTCCTTGGGAGAAGCCCATATATATACAGAACTAGCTATATAGCAACGTCACACTTAAGCTCTTATTTAGAGAAACACAATTCCTAAACTCCTGCTTTTCTGGGAAGAACACCAACCAGCTGTGAAAGAAAAGGCGGCAGCTGAATCCAGGGTGATGTACTCCCTTTACTTTGTTTTCCTGCAAGGAGCAGGCTTTTGGGGACACCTCCAGCTTCAGTTTTGCACACTGTGTAGTGGTAAAATATGGACTCATAGAATCCACAAAGTTGGAAGGGACATTTAAAGGTCACTCAGTCTATAACAGCTTACTATAATAGCATATAGTCTAGAACAGCTTACTTTTATTTTGTTACACAAAAACAACTAGTCATCATATATTATATATTTTATATACTTAAGTGTTTACAAGATTATTTTCACATTTTTCAATTACAAAATGATACTGTGCTTTTAATTTGCATGATAGCAGGTTTATTAACTGCTGATTGCTACCACATGTACTTCTGAGCCTTGCTGAAGGTAATGCGTCCTTAATTATCTATTACTATTCTTACCTAGGTAAATTACACCCTTAACCTCATCTCCCTCCATCCAGTGCCTCAAATGATCAAATGATCCAAATCCTTCAGGATACCAAACTAACTTCTCTTCTATTTGCTGTACCTCTTAGCTTTGTGTCATCTGCGAAATCATCAATCTCCAGTTAGCTGCTAAGAAAATTAATGACAAAACTAAACAAAGAGAAAAATTATTTACCAGCAATTTCAGTTCTTTGAGACATTGTGACAATCTGCACACCGCAGGCACCCAGAGCTGAGGCTTTTGCATAGCAGTAGCCTGAGGGTGCACGTGCTGCCCGCACAGGCAAACACCACGAGTCCTTGTGTGCTCTGCAAGGACTCATGCTTTCTGCTGCAGAAGCTAAGGAGTTTTTAAATCTCAATGGAAAAGGGGAAATGAGAAAATGCACTTCTAGATCACACACCTAGAACATGTCCCACTACTGGTTAAAGTAACCTCTTTCAGCCAGCTGATGATATACTGTCATAGAAAGTATTATCCTCCAAAAATCATCCGGTTACCTGCCAAGTGAACAGGCAATGCAAAACAGCTCCCATTGGTGGGGCACCATTTCTAGATGCTACCGTGAATGCTGCTATACTTAGCCAAGTGTCTGAATGCAGCTCTGCAGCTCAAGGTGGCAACTTCATGGACACAGAGGAAGCAATGCCAGCTGAGCCTGCAGCCTCGTGCAGTGCATTCTGATCAAAGAGAAATCTATTTGAGCTGTCCTTTAGGAGATATGGATGCAGGCTAAAATTTCATTAGACAGCACATATGAAGACTTTGTTGATCCCCAAGATACCGTTATTAAAAGCATTACAAATCTACACACACAGAATGCTCCAAACACAACAATAAGCAGGGAGGGAACCTAAAACGTAGAAAATGGAAAGGGACAAAGGAGAAGGGGAACAAGAATATCTAATAAGCACATCTTTCTGTAAAATGGAAGTTTATTACCCTTAAGGCATCTGAGACAAGTGGAGATATTTTCAGCTTGTACTGCCTTAAGTCAGGTATTCACCAAGAAAAAGGAGAGACATGTGGTGTGTGCCCTAATCTGTTTAGGCAGAAGCCCCATCAGCACTCTTGGCTAATGAAGTTTGTAAATACTCATGATGTAAGTGGACAGCACAACTCAGAGGAGGCTGAGGGGTTTACATTCATGTACATAAGCATAAAAGATGCTTAATCAATTCTTTTACGAAAAAAAGTTAAAATTTTCAAGGAATATTTAGCTCCAGTGAACAAACTGACATCTCTCTTCCAAAAAAACACCATATTTCTTTACACGTGTACACTAAACATTATAAATACCAAAATACTTCTACTACTACCTGGCCTTCAATCAGCAAGGTCTTCTCTGTATCTGGCAGCAGTAGAGTTCAGGAGCTGACAAAGAAATTCTCCCAGAAGGAGAAGTAGGCAACAGACTGCTATATACCACATGCCTCTTCAAGCATGTCAGATGTGCTAGGAAATACCTAATTCTGTTATCTGGGAGGTCGACAGGGCAATGAGGTTAGATTGATCCACAGCCAGAAAAAAAGGGACCTTTGAGATACCCTGAAGAATCTTTCTGCTCTGTGTTCATCAGGCAGTGGTTATCTATTTACACCACCATTATTCCTTCATCATGAGACAAGTAATTCTTTTAAGAGGTGCATTACTTTTCATCGTATCCATTGTCTTATTTTCTGTGTTGAACTTTATGTCATTACTAATGCTCATAAGCTGCAATTAGAGCATCACTTGGATGCATCATATTTTATTGTAATTCTCAAGAAACATGTTGTCCAAGAAAAATCCAGTTTATTCTGGATGTCAGATAAAGGATCAGGTTGCTACAGTTCCAAACATTTGATCAGATGCCTGTGTGATAAGCTATGCAGACACATGTGAGAGAGCATCTGTATCTGTGGATGGTTTCTAGTTCTTAAAATCATCTGAATAAATACTTGGAGGCAAACAGAACAAAACAATAAAATAAATCTTACTTGTTTAGGGTCATCAGTGAGAAGCCTAAACTTCCTGGGGTTTTTGCTTCTGGCAAATTTACATCCATTGAAATACATGCTCCATGAACAGCCAAATGAGAATGATGCTCCACACGTTTCTGGATCAAGTCCCTGACATGCACACGTACGGCTGTGAAAGGAGATAAAGACAAGTCAGTTGATGATGCAGCTTGCCTTTTTCTTAATGGTCAATGCTATTTGCTTTTTCTTTTTTAAATACATAACAAAACAATGCAGGAATTTACAAATTTGTAGTTTAATGAGGTATTTTCTGTTAATGAAGTATTCATTAACAGAATGAACTTTCAGAGGACTTTCTTTCCCTTATAGACAATTCCAACTCTCTGAAGTCTCACAAGTTCCGCTCTCAGGAAATACATAACATTGAGTTATAGCTACCTAAATATACTCTCATGCTTTTTTGATTTTGACATCTCAAAGTACAAGAAGTACAAAATAGTACCACTCCTATTGAAGGTTGCCCGTAAATACAGTAAAATGTTACATGAGGCAATACCATTATCTCCAAATTGATCCAGTGTTTAAAACAGAACAACTCCACTTACCCTGGCCATTTAAGAACAGAAGCATTAGACTTAGATCACTGCACAGCTATTAGGGAAGGCAGCACGCCCTCCTCTCACAACTGGCCAGCCTGGCTCACAGGTGTGGTGGAAGTCAGGAACCACCTTTTTAGCAGCTCCTTACTGTGGCTGCATGTGTACAAACACAGAAGAGAATTTCACTGCCAATCCTTTCCCTGGGCTCCCATTGTACAAGTAGCCCTTAGAGCCTGGTCTGTAGAAAAGGCCAGAAACTAAGTTTTATACTAAAATGACACCTAGTGGCTTGTAATTTTAAATAAGTTTTCCTGCATTTATCAGTTGCACTACTATTGAATTTCCATGCTGTTAAATTCAGAACACTCGAAGGGCAACACAACAGTGGGTGACAATTTCAGGAGCTTACTCTTCATTCAGTGCACATCTGCGGCTCGTGGGACAGCCGTATTTTCTGAGGCTCTGCGTCAGCTCTTTGTACAGCGTATCAGCCAGGAGATGAGGGATCCCCTCCCACGCCAGTATGAGAATCACTATGACAGCAGTCTGGCAGTGGTGTCCCGCACGCTGACGTACCAAGCATAGCAACTTCTCCTCATCACTACTTCTTCGTATCACCTGAAAGAATCATTTTGTTTATTCTAAGATAGAACTAGGAAACACATGAGGCCTGGACGAGAAAATAAAACTGCTGTCTGAAGTGTCTATCAGCAAGTAGGGCCGGGAAAGCATCACACGCTGGTCTCTTGGTGTAGCATGTGACTTTGTGTTGCCTTTCTACCTATAAAAGAAATAGCAGAAGGAGTATCTTAGATGTTCTACACAAACAATAATGACTAGTTTGAGGAAAAAACATCCACTAGAAATATATAACAATCCTGCAATGACAGAGCCATTGAAAACCTAATAGTTACCTTGCAAATAATACTGAGAATGTATTGCCAAAACCCAGAAAGCAGATGCATAAGCTGCACCCCAAAAGCAAACACACACTCATGTTAAGATGATTACTACAGTTACATACCAGTACACTGAACTATCCCCATCTTGCAACATAACAATAGATGGAAGCAATGAAATAAACTGTGTGAAGGAATCAGAGATTTTTCATAACATTAAAGTAGTTAGCAGAGTGCTGAAATATTTTAGTGACCTGTATGACACAGAAAGAACTTTTTGTCAATTTTATCCATATAATACATAAAAGATTAATATGATACAGAACATTACTACAGTGGCTTTTAATATACCAATGAACTAAAAAAAAAATTATATGCCACATGTTTCTGTTTTATCGTAGCTTGACACAAATTTCTGTCGTAAGAAGACCAAAAAGATGCATTACATCTAGGTAATAATAGAATATAATCCTTGACATACATTATCTGTTCTTCAGACATATCTGACCCATCAGAGCCCCTATGAGGCCTCCAACAAAAAAGGGCTCAAGTCCTCAGTGTTACACTTCAACATTCAAAACAAAGACAGTAAGCGTAGAAGCTAAATCACCCTCCCCTGCTCTGTCATCTCTAGGATGGGGATGAGTAGCTTTCTCTTCCTAAGAAAAGATACATCATGTATCCTCCTCAAAAAGATACATCCATGCAGCTGGTGAGCCCTTTCAATTGCAGATACTCTTCCAGCTCTGCAGCAGAACAGTCGCTCAGTACAAGCAGTTGGCCACTCTGGCTTTACCAACCACTACCCCCTATTGGTAGAAGGCCCATAAGTGTGTGTAAGGGAACCATTAGGTCACAGGTTGAACTGAAGATGGAGCACCTGGTGAAGGAGTATGGCTGGCCAGGAAGCACAGGTACAGACAATTTACATGTGCTTCCAAGGTGACAGGAATGGGTGAATCCAGGATCTCAGTCTCCCCTGGGCTTATTTAAGGGTCAGCCTCTAAAGGGAGAACATCTCCTAGATGAAGGTTGCTTCCTTGGGAGGAGTGTTCTACAACCACAGATCGCCATCGCCAGCTGGATGAATCAACCTTTTCTTCTGTGTGAGACTATTGGTATTCCCAACAATTCCTCGTGAAGAGCTTGTCAGAAGCACTGCTTCATAGGATAAGCCGAGCTAATAATGACAGAATATAAAAGCAGAAAGGCAACAATTTCACCTATTCATTGGATGCCTCCAGCTGTCTGGGTTTTCAAGTAGATTCTCCATCAGACTGATGCCAAAGCCTCTTTGTTTCCAGACACGTGGCTAGTGGTCATTCATATGACCCCTAGCCTGATCAACTGTGAATATCTAAATTATTTAAGCTAATTAAAAGTGGGAACCAAAATACCCTTGCAGTTAATCTGCAAATGAAAGGATTTTCAACAGACCAAAAGTTTCAGATAATGCATTTTTGCTTTGCAGGAAGAAGCAAGATGCAAGTTAGTTTGTGTCAAGGGAGAAAGAATCGCTCTTTTCAAGTTGATTACACAGTCTCACAATCAGCCTTAAACTCAATGAGAAAAGTAAATGCATCTGAGTTACCATTCCTCTTGGTTGTGACTGAACTACTGGTACAGTATTTTCTGTAAAGAAAGAGAAATAATGCAGCTCATTTACATTTGAGTGAGACTTACAGAAAATCTATTATGCTTGATCCATAATACAGGTTATTCACATCAGTGTGAATTGTACATTCCTGAGGCAGCATAGCTCCTTCCAGTCAGAAACAGAGGAATTTAATTTTGCTACTCAGCATGAAGGGTGATGCTTTTAATCTCTTTCTTCTTTCTTAGTTTTCTAGACTTTGTAACTTCAATGAGGAAATGCAATATCTCTTAGTTTCTCAGTACAACATCAGGGTGCTCTTCGTGAGCTTTCACATAGTCCTCAGCTGAGTCCAGAAAAAGAGACAAATGGACAGGAACACAGTTTATAATCTGCTTCAAAGCAATGTCACACCACCTTGCAGTTAAACACAGATGGAATCTGCTTTGTTGTGCATGCTAGAGATAATGCAGTGCTCTTACTGGACGCACAAACATTCTGCAATCCACTGTCTTTCAGGCCACAGAGGTGACTAAAGGATTTATGAGTTATCTGGATTTCATTTCTGTGGCCCTTAAGAGGTTACTGCTGCAGCTGGAGCACTCCTGTCCTTAGGTAATTGGAGATAAGGCACTTTCCTCACCTATTAGTCTTAGAAGAACACAACCTGCACTGAAGCAATTGCAGTTCCTCAGGGCTTGCAGCCAGCAGCACAGCTGGAGCCGCATTGCTTTTCCCATATAAACTGATGATGTCCATGCATGTGTTACAGATGCTATCCTCAAGGCAATAATAAACAGAGCCTCTCTTGCAATAATACAAAATCCACAGCAATACCACACAACTTTAATACACAGAGAACCACATTTGAGGAGGACAAGCCCAGCCAACAGAAACACCATGTAATTCCTGACAACAGCTTTTCTGATGGAGAAAATTCCTACTGTGCTCCTTGACTCAGTGACTTATTAGTTACATTAACACTGATGGAATCAAAGTTATTTCCAACTTGTCATTTGTTTTCTAGTACTTGCTGATATCACAGAATCACAGAATGGCCAGGGTTGGAAGGGACCTCAAGGATCATGAATCTCCAACCCCCCTGCCACATGCTGAGCCACCAACCTCCCCATTTAATACCAGACCAGGCTGCCCAGGGCCCCATCCAGCCTGGCCTTGAACACCTCCAGGGACGGGGCATCCACAACCTCTCTGGGCAGCCTGTTCCAGCACCTCACCACTCTCACAGTAATGAACAATCCAATACATTTCTGAAATTAAATGGTAAAATATTAAGCTAAATTGTCTGCTTTTTTTTTTTTTTTTTTAAGTGAGCCTGAGATTATCTGAGTAACTGGTAAAATCCAAAATACGAGCACAAGCTGTGCATTGCTTATCTTGCTTGATAAGTTAACAGGCTGGATCTTTCACTGCTTCTCCAAGTAATGGACCTAGTAAGGTTTTACTGACTAATGATCCACTGAATTACTCTTCTTAACTTTAAATATCTCCAAGATATTTCTCTATTTCTGTCCCTGTTTCTGTAGCTTGAAATGACTGGGAATGGTACCAAGATCTCTTAACCCTTAAATATCCCTAGACCAGGCAGTGTTTTAACCAACTTTTCTCCCCTGGTACTTTATGGAAGACATCACACATCTTAAATTCATGCATCATCTTAAAGTCACCAACACAGCAACACACGAAGTCTCAGCCTACACACTCTTTTTTTTAGCATGTATTTGATATAGGTCCTCTTCAGTAGGCAAATGGAATTAGTATGCTGTTACAGCCACGGAATGCAATGCTAACATAATTTATAAATCAATTCTTCATGCAGTAATTCAAAGCATATACGTATGTGCTATAGTTGGTAAACATAATTCCCAGTGCACTCATGGCTTCTGTATGAAGCACTCAGAAGCTGAACATTGAATTAAAAATGCAGCAGAGCAATCTGAGTGCTTCTCAGACTGCAAACATTGCACAAATCAGCTGGCAAGTCTAAGCCCCAAAAGCTGCAGATACTGCCCATGACTTCTGCATGGTTCATACGTGTAGTTAAAAGAAATGCTCAGGTAAATAATTAAATACTTTATTTTGGTTAACTTTGGTCTGTAATGCTCTTAAGGAGGAATGAGAAAATAACTGCTTGTTAAGCAACAGAATTTTAAATAGAGCTTTTTAAAGTGGCTAACTAAAAACTTACTGCACATCAAAAGCCCCATGGTTTCTTGGTGTCTCACACAGAAAAATAACAGTCAGAAAACCCAGACTTGTATGAAGTTTGTGAAGAATTATGTAACACTTAGGTGATGGCATCATCTTTTCGTAGCTACACAGGCCTGTATTATCCCTGAACACTCTTTAGCAAGTGATAACTGACAGCAGTACTGGGTATCCATCAAAACATTTACAACAAATACTTTGCTTCAGCTGCAACACAGACATCTGACAAACTCCTCCCAACACTTCACTGATACCTGCCAGCACTGCTCTGTACCCTCTTCAACTGGACATGAAGCTGCTTCTTGCCTGTCCCCTAACATCACAACATCTGTGACAAGAGAAAAAAACACACGGGACAAACACCTCCTGAATAGCTTTCTAATGTGCATGTGTGCTTGGATGTACACAGCCATCATCATTGCAGGTAGCTGATCTGAGCAGGATCATAAAATCAACTTTTGAGTTGGGAGGGACCCTTAAAGATCATCTGGTGCAACTCCCCTGCAACTAACAGGGACACTTCTAGTTCCATGAGGAGCTCAGAGCCCCATCCAGCCTGACCTTGGGTGAATGCAGGGAGGAGGCATGCACCAGCTCCATGGGCAGCCTGTGCCTCACCACTGTGACTGCAAAAGAATATATATATCCAATCAAAATCTACCCTCTTCCAATTTGAAACCACTTCCCTTGTCCTGCCACAACACACCCCGCTGAAGTCTCTGCCCCCTTCTTTCTCACAGCCACTTTGTAGATACTGATGGGCCACTCTCTGCTCTCCTCAGAGCCTTCTCTTCTCCAGGCTGCACAGCCCCAGCTCTCAGCCTGTCCTTTAGGGTATTCCATCCCTTGGCTCATTTTTGCGGCCCTTCTCTGGATGCACTCTAACAGATCCGCAT